ATTGGGGGGGGGGGGATTATATAAGAATGCAATCGATTAACACATCATATCATGTGGTCGTTGCATTCTAACTAGATATGTTGCCAAGGATTTCATCTCCTTCTACTATTGTTTTTAATAGTACATTGTAATTTAGAGAGCAAGATAATTTACATAGAAGCTTGCTAGTGCTAGCCAGTTACACAGTGCCGAGAGACAAATAAATAAATAACAATTAAAAATCAATAGTTTTTTCCTTTCCTTGAATATTTTTATTCAAGAAAAAACGAAAGGCAGAGCATTTTCCAAACTCCTACCCATAGTCAAAGGCATAGATTATATCTCTGCCTCCATTTCTACAAATCCAATGGTCAAGAAAAAAAATAAAAATGAAAGGCAGATAAATTTTCCATTCCCTACCCACACTCACCGGTCTAGATTACACCCTCCTCCAAATCTAACGTTAAAAGATCAACCAAACCAGTTGTCTCTCTATTCATGCGAGAAGTCCAATGATAAATGTAGGAAAATTATTTTATTAGTCCTTTTAATTTGTATCTAATTATAAATCAATCCTTTATTTTTAAAACATATAGCCTAGTCATTAACTCTTGTTGATCGCTTGTCTTATTGATATAATCTGGGTTTCTTCCTCTCTTTTCTCAAAATCCAACTGTGTTATTTTATAATTCTAAAATCTTATAGAAAAAACCAATTAGTGGAGTCATGTAGAAAACTAAGATATTTACTAAGAAAAAGGGCAATATGATTAAATTATGAACATCAAGTATTAAGTTATAGTTTTTCTAAACATGAAGGACTAAACGATTAATTTATTGTAAATTAAGGTTGTTGTCTTGCCCCTAGCTTATTTGCCTCTTTCTTTCTAAGATAAATTTAGCTCTTCTTAAAAATATCAACAGACCCAACAACCGTGAGAGAGATAGAAATACGGAGTTTCAGCGTTTCAGAATTCAAGAATGGCTTCCACTTCTTCTCTTACTCTGTCTCAAGCCCTTTTGGCTAGAGCTGTTTCTCATCACGCCACTGACCAACGCCGTGACAGCCACCTCTCTCTTGTCTCCCTTCCTGCTTTCTCCGGCCTCAAATCCACCACCTCTGCATCCTCACGCGCCACCACAACCACTAACCGCCGGCGTCGTGTGTCTTCCAGTCATGTAAGGGCGGCGGCAGTGGAGACATTGGATGTGACGACAGAGACTTCACTGGTGGAGAAGTCGGTTAATACAATTAGATTTCTTGCTATTGATGCTGTTGAAAAGGCCAATTCGGGTCACCCCGGTTTACCTATGGGGTGTGCTCCGATGGGTCATATTTTGTACGATGAGGTTATGAGGTATAATCCGAAGAACCCATACTGGTTCAATCGTGATCGGTTTGTTTTGTCAGCTGGTCATGGCTGTATGTTACAGTATGCTCTGCTTCATCTTGCTGGTTATGATAGTGTCAAGGTTTGTGCTTTCTTTTTTCTTGTTTATTAAATTAAATTCTGATAGAAGTTTTGGATATTTTAAGGTGTTTTTGTTGTGTTTTTTTTTCATGAGAAATGGATCTGGATTTGTTTTATTAAGTTACCAAAGATAACCCAACATTTTACAGTACCATATCTTGATGTCTAGATGTTTTTTGTTTGTTTTTGTTATCTTGATGCTATCGAGTGGCTTTCAAGTGCTTTAAAGATGTTGCTTGTACAAAATCAGGCTTGAATTATGCAATGGGGCTAAATTTTGCTACGGTCCATGTTCATTGAGCTTTTGATTTTAATAGGAAGAAGACTTGAAGAGTTTCCGTCAATGGGGAAGCAGGACACCTGGACATCCTGAGAACTTCGAGACTCCTGGCGTTGAAGTCACAACTGGTAGGATTAAGAGTTTTAACTTTGAACTTTTTTATCTATCATTTGATATTTTATACGTTCTCGCAAAAATTCAAAAGTAAAATTTTATATTTTCGGTGTAGGTCCTCTTGGACAGGGTATTGCCAATGCTGTTGGTTTGGCACTTGCTGAGAAGCACTTGGCTGCTCGCTTCAACAAACCGGACAGTGAGATTGTTGACCACTACACGTATGATAACTGTCTCAATCTCGTATCTTGCTAGTGTTCTTCCATGCCAACTTATTGAGCCCTATTTTATCATCATCTTTGTGTTGGTTTTCATTTAGATATGCTATATTGGGGGACGGTTGTCAAATGGAGGGTATTTCAAATGAGGCTTGCTCCTTGGCTGCACATTGGGGGCTTGGAAAGCTGATTGCTTTCTATGATGATAACCATATCTCCATCGATGGTGACACTGAGATTGCATTCACCGAGGATGTTGACAGACGTTTTGAGGGTCTTGGGTGGCATGTTATCTGGGTGAAGAATGGAAACACTGGATATGATGAGATTCGGGCTGCCATCAAGGAGGCCAAGGCTGTAAAAGACAAACCCACTTTGATCAAGGTTAGACATATTGTCTCTTGTGGTTTCTATTGAAGTGAGATGGCAAATTGATTAAATCATATAGGAAGTCTTCTGATTAGCCACTGATAGATCACTATAGTGGTTCATTGGTGGCATCATTGGAATTGCTATTAAAAATATTCAATAAATTAATTGGATGGTATGTTTTAAACTTCCCATAAATTTTATTTTCTTTGAAGGTCACGACAACCATTGGGTATGGATCTCCAAACAAATCAAACTCATACAGTGTCCATGGGAGTGCATTGGGTGCCAAGGAAGTTGATGCTACCAGGCAGAACCTTGGATGGCCATATGAGCCTTTCCATGTTCCAGAGGATGTTAAGCAGTATGTAAACCAAGATTATGTTTCAGTCTGTTTATCATGCTACTTGAGTTGATTTGGTATTTACAAACTGTCTGGCTTTTTCTTAGGCACTGGAGCCGCCACATCCCAGCTGGTGCAGCTTTTGAAGCCGAATGGAACACCAAGTTTGCTGAGTATGAGAAGAAGTATAGTGAAGAGGCTGCAGAGTTCAAGTCTATCATGGCTGGTGAACTGCCTACTGGTTGGGAGAAAGCACTTCCCGTGAGTGTAACCTCGACAGTTGTTTTTGCTCTTGATCTTTCCATGAGGACCTCTTTGGTGATTCTATATTGGGATCACCATTAACATGAGCGGTTTATTCTGTCATAATTATGGATGCTGGAAATGGTGTTCCACAATTTGTGCACTCAATAAACTGCCCCACCCTTCAATGCAAAAACACAGTTATTAGCAGGGTGTGGAATTGGCATGTCCTATTTGTGAATTTTTAGAGAAGCGCTTGTGCAAAATTATGACAGTCAGTAGATGTTGCATTTGAAATAAGGGTAATCTTTTTCTTACTCTTTTTTTTTAATTAATCTTGCAGACATACACTCCCGATAGCCCAGCAGATGCCACCAGAAATCTATCTCAGCAAAACCTAAATGCACTTGCAAAAGTGCTCCCTGGTCTTCTTGGTGGCAGCGCAGATCTTGCCTCTTCCAACATGACCTTGTTAAAAATGTTTGGGGACTTCCAGAAGGACACCCCTGAGGAACGCAATGTCAGGTTTGGTGTCAGAGAGCATGGAATGGGAGCCATCTGCAATGGCATTGCACTTCACAGTCCTGGCTTGATTCCCTACTGTGCTACTTTCTTTGTTTTCACTGACTACATGAGAGCTGCCATAAGGATTTCTGCTTTGAGTGAGGCTGGGGTCATCTATGTCATGACCCACGATTCCATTGGACTTGGAGAAGATGGACCAACCCATCAACCAATTGAGCACTTGGCAAGCTTCCGTGCAATGCCCAACATTTTGATGCTCCGCCCAGCTGATGGAAATGAAACTGCTGGCGCATACAAGGTTGCTGTCCTCAACAGAAAGAGACCCTCTATCCTAGCCCTCTCCAGGCAAAAGCTACCCCAACTTCCTGGAACCTCCATTGAGGGAGTTGAAAAGGGTGGCTACATCATTTCAGATAACTCCTCTGGTAACAAGCCTGATGTCATCCTGATGGGTACTGGTTCAGAGTTGGAAATTGCAGCTAAAGCTGCTGAGGAACTTAGAAAGGAGGGCAAGGCTGTGCGAGTTGTCTCCTTTGTTTCATGGGAGCTTTTTGATGAGCAATCAGATGCGTACAAGGAAAGTGTTCTGCCAGCAGCTGTAACAGCTAGGGTTAGCATTGAAGCTGGATCAACATTTGGGTGGCAGAAGCTTGTTGGATCCAAAGGTAAGGCTATTGGAATTGACCGGTTTGGAGCAAGCGCACCAGCAGGTAAAATATACAAGGAGTTTGGTATTACTGCAGAGGCTGTAATTGCAGCAGCCAAAGAAGTTAGCTAGGTGGATCTATATTCATTGACGATATCTTGCTAAATGCGCATTTGAGGTTTGGATTAGAAAATACAGAGAGGCTGTTCCGGGAGATCTGTTTCATTACTTGGCCTCGTTTGTTTCAATAAAAGACTCAGATTAAATTTTCTTCTGCTGCTTGTAAGTGGTCAGTTGAGGAACCTGGATCAAAGATAGAGTTTAGGTTTATGAATAATCCTGAATTTGTAACAACTCTTGGACCTCTCTTGAGTTTTGTAGTTTTCTTTGGTTACTTGAATGAGTTGAAGATGAATTATTATTTTTCCTTCATGTTATTAAGCAGCGCAAAGGTACTTTGCTTTGATTCTCAGTTTTCATCTCTCTTTTTCTTGTCTGCTGTGTTTACTAAAATGATCACATTTCAAGCTGCCAGATTATGGAGTGATGCCAAACTAAAGAAGTTGAAACTGCTAGGGTCCACTTATGGCTGTGGAAGGGAGGGAGACCTTGACCAATCGATAATTTGTGGTTGTTGGAGCTCATAATCTCAGCTTCCTATCTATCCATGTTACATCATCCACTACAACCAAAAGCTGCCTTCTGTTTTGTTTTTAAATGCACACAAGTAGAGGTATTTAGGGCCTACCTTCAAAACATCTACAATGATTTTATCTGATGTCTGTATCGTCACATTAGTCGCATTCATGAAAGAATTTTAGATATCAACGGCATATTCTCCCTCTAGGGTTGAGTCATTGCCTCATGGAGGTCATCCATAGACTACGCCCAGAATAGATCTTTCTGCTCTGAGCTAAATGGGCTCATTTTATCCCTTCTAGCAGCCAGTTTGTCACAAGCAATTCAAGGCCCATGCTCAGCCAGTATAAGTGAGTGTCTGTTGTTTATCAACTGTTTTTTAAATTACTTTTGAAATTGGTTTTTAGTTAAAAAAATATTAAATTAATATTTTTTTATGCATCTTTTAATGTGTTAGTGTAAATAATAAAAAAATATAAAATATATTTTTAATTGAAAAACACTTTTAAAAAACATTATATAATGCATTACTATACACATACTTAGATTGGAAGCCACTTGGTTTACTTTTTTATTTTTGGTGTTTTCATTTTCATAACTAAGACTTTTTCTTTAGCGAGTTCTATAGAATAATAAGAAGTCCAAGGTCACTAGATCATTATGGCATGTTTAGCATTTCGGTCCAATTGTTATTTTGCTAATTTTTAAAGTTTTTATTTTAAATTATTTTTTTATATTTTAATTTTTTTTTATAAATATACTGATGTTAAAAATAAATATTAAATATATATATATATAAATTTTTAATATATTTTTAAATAAAAACACTTTAAAACATGACTTTCATCAATCTCCAAATAGAGAATTTTTAGCTTTGGATTGAACTACCACATGGTTTTATTGTCATAAAAACGAGGGGTTAATTCCTGTTTTAACAAGACAGACAGACATGAACTAGTATCATGTCAATCCTGTCATTATAATCTTCTTATGTTAGGTTTAAGTCAAATCTTGCTGATAACAAAGTCTCTTGTCAACGAGAGGCCTACCAAACTCTCTTCATCATATAGTTCTTTTTCTTCGTTTTTTGGTGAATTACTGTATAGCAGTGCTAAATTGCCTGAGCCATACCTGCCCACTTTCGGGGGCCCCGCAAAAGGAAGCACAGTTTCTTGGTGTTGAATCAAACAAACCTCCCTCATGGGGCTAGCACATAGGAGCCAAACAAAGGGTTGGTAACTTGGTATGGAAGCTGATGAAATACTGGGGATGTACACATTATACTGGATTTCCAGGATCACAACCTGCGCACCCCCTCATCAACCCCCTTCCCGGTGCCAAAAATCTCTAAACTACCCCAATAAACCCTAAATAGAGATCCCATTGTACAATATTTTCAGCACAAGGTACAAGCCAATCGTAGCACAAAACCCTGTATTCTGATATAAAACAGAGTAAGATTATAGAGTGTTTGGGTGTGAGGTGTGATAGCTTTTTTTTTTAAGGTACCACACTTTTAAAGTAGACACCACACTTTCTAAAAGCAAAAAATATATACTTTTAGTAAGAAATGTGGTAACTTTTAGAAAAAAAATCAACCACACCTCCTACCCAAACACCCTCTAAACAAACCAATAGCAAGCCACAAAACTTGAAAGATTAAATGAAGGGAACCTCATCTACATTCTTATCATAATGTATAATTATCAATTTCATCCTAAATCAATTATAAATTAGACAATTTTCTTTCTCACAACCAAAACATCCCAAGTCAAACACAGGACGATTCCTGCACAGAAAAGCAAAAGTGTCTAGTCTTGAACAGATTTGGGATGAAAATAAGAGCTGATGTAATAGTTGGGCTAGGTTTGGAATGAAATTGATAAAATTTATTGGATGGGGATGAAATTAAGAGTAACGCAATAAGTTAAGGACAAAAGGGGTTTCCAAAAAATAGAAGCTAGTCGGTGAATCCAACTACAACTAAACACACAAGCCCACAAAAAACTCAAATAAAATCGAACCCTTTCAAAAAACCACGAAGAAAACATAGTATGGGTGTTACGTGCTAGTGTTGTACAAAGAAAAGAGAGACGGTGAAAGCTATGGCTCAAGCGAGCAAAATCAGCAGTGGAGCCTTGGTTGGAATCTTTAATTGTTTATATGATAGTTATTGAAAGTTTATATGATTATTAATTTTAAAATTTGTAGAATTAATCATGGTAAGCTAAACCAACACCCATATTAATCTAAAAAAACCAGCAGTGGAGCCCAAAATACCTACACGGTACCTAATCTTTCGAAACCCCAGAACCCCAATTCTTTATCTTCGATTTCCTTCAGACCACAGCTCATTAAAGGGTCTTCTTTGAGGTTAAAGCAAAGTAAAAAAACGGGTGATTGCAGACTGAAGGCTGGACCTTTAAAGGCTCTAGCTTCAGTTGCTACATCAGATAAGCCATCAATTTTAACTGTTACTTTGCCGGGTTCTAAGTCTCTGTCTAATCGGATTCTCCTCCTTGCTGTTCTCTCTGAGGTAATGTTTTATATGTATATATGATGCTAGAAATTGTTTATTGCTCTTTTTGTTTTGACATAATTTTTTTAGTAGCTGGCTTTGTTGCATTCTGGGACGTGAGTTTAATAGAATTTGAAAAACTGAGGCTTTATTGGTGGGAATGAAATTTAATGGGTGAATTGCTAGAGATTTAGAAATGTGGTTGAAAGGAAAAACAACATTGATATATATATATATTGTTTATTGTCTAGTTTTACAAAAGATAATTTCTTTGGTAGTTGCTTGTATTTGTTTGTATTTTTAACCTGGTATTGAATTTGTTTATTTTATGACATTGACTGTATTTAGTAAAAAGACAATATACAGGAGAATGGACTCCACTGACAATGATGATTGTATAGTGAAATTCATGATAAAATAAACATTATATAGTGTTTATTTTACTTCATGTATTTAACTTCTGTTTTCTTTTACTTTCATATAACTAAAATAAATGGCTTTGAATACTGTATGCAATGTGTTTATTGTCTTACATTTCTAGGCCCGTTAACTTTATTGGCTGTCATTAATGGTTGTTTTCATCTTTGTCATTCAGGGAACGACTGTTGTTGACAATTTGTTGAATAGTGATGATGTTCATTACATGCTTGGTGCACTCGGAACACTTGGACTACGTTTGGAAGAGAACACAACTCAAACAAGTGATCGTAGAAGGTTGTGGTGGTCAGTTGCAGTGGGAAAAGAATCAAAGATTGATGTTGAACTTTTCCTTGGAAATGCTGGAACAGCAATGCGGCCATTGACAGCTGCAGGTGGAAATTTGAGGTCTGTTCTATATTGCGCCACTCCCCACCTTGTTCTTTATTTTCTTTCAAATAAATATTGATGTGGACAAAATTAATCACCATTAGCATCAGCTTGTCATTAGCATTAATCACCATCACGAAGTTGAATTTTCAGATTATAATCTTGAGGGTGTATAATCCCCATAGGAACAATCCAAGCAGAATAGATTCTAATTTCTCAGTGTCATTATGTATTTTGAAAATTTTACTCGGATCAATGGCCCAATTTTGTTCAATTGTATACTGTACCTGTGGAATACAACAATGGATGGCAGTTACTTTATGAGAGTGCATCTCTGTGTCTTTCATATCAATCCTACCATTTCTAGAGCTCTGTACTTACAGTAATTTCTTCTTTTTTGTTGGTGGTATCATTCAATACACTCCAGCTACATACTTGATGGGGTGTCACGAATGAGAGAGAGACCAATTGGTGATTTGGTTATTGGTCTTCAGCAGCTTGGTGCAGATGTTTCTTGTTCTCCTACAAACTGCCCCCCTGTTCGTGTAAATGCAAATGGAGGCCTTCCAGGGGGGAAGATGTGATTTCTGTCATCTTCTACATTGATCTTTCTTGTTGTATAATACGTTTGATCCATCATTACTTCTTTCTTCTGTTTTTCTGGCATTAGGTATGGGTTAGGGCAGTGTATTGAACAACTAAGTAATCTTATGTTTCAATGTAACTGCTGACTTGATTACCGCTTAATTCTTGACAAAGGCATGGTATCAAATGATGTGGTAACCCTGGTTGGTGATTATTGAGTGTGGTTTGTGACTGATCATTGTAGTCTTTCTGCTATCATTAAGAAAATATATGTTTTCTCATGTGTGCTCAATGTACATGCTTCTGGTTGTTCATCCAAAATGAGATACCTGAACTTGAAACAACCTTCACTTTGTTAATCATTCATTGAGCTTTCTTGGAAAGGCATCCATATTCTTCAGCCACCTCAGCATAATACTTTTGCATTTTGACCTTGAATTTGCTTCTGTGAATTAAATTTAGGATTTGCTGGCAACTTCATTGTTAGTTTCTTTTTTAGAAAGATATTTTTGAAACAAACACTCATTGCTGTTGTCATTAATGATGGAATGAAAGTCTTCATTCATAATTCATGTTTCCCTTGTCTCCATTTTCAGGTTAAACTCTCTGGATCGAAAAGTAGTTAATGCTTGACTGCTTTGCTCATGGCAGCTCCTTTAGTCCTTGGAGATGTGGAAATTGAGATAATTGACAAGTTGATTTCTGTTCCTTATGTTTAGATGACTTTAAAGTTGATGGAGCGCCATGGAGTTTTTATAGAACATAGTGATAGCTGGGATCATTTCTTCATTCGAGGTCAAAAATACAAGCAAGTTTATTTAGTATCCATAGTGCATGAGTGTTTGAAATAATACTCGAAGTAACATGCTGACAGTTCAACCAGGTCTCCTGGAAACTCTTTTTTTGAGTGTGATGCTTCAAGTGCCAGTTACTTCCTAGCCGGCACAGCAATCACTGGTGGGATCATCACTGTTGAAGGTTGTGGAACAGACAGTTTGCAGGTATTTCTCTCATGTGAATATATTGGTCTTCTACTTGCATGTCATAATTTATGAATGTGGTGTAGATATGCTTACGACATCCATTGCTTTCCACGTGTCAACAAAATTGTTAGATTTCTTCTCAAAATTTCATTCCACTCTCCAGATCGACTCCCTAGTTCCTAATAAATTCCATGGAGGGAGAGAATATCACAAATCAATCTTAATATTACATGCATCAGACAAGTACAGTGTATTATATGAATTCATTCAGTGCTTAACACTGATCTAACTAACTCAAGTTTCTTTTTGGTTGGAAATTAAGGGAGATGTAAAGTTTGCAGAGGTTCTTGAGAAAATGGGAGCTAAAGTTACCCAGACCAAGAACAGTGTTACTGTCACTGGACTGCCACGAGATTCTTCTGGTTGGAAACACTTGCGTGCTGTTGATGTAAATGTGAACAAAATGCCAGATGTTGCTATGACTCTGGCTGTTGTTGCGCTTTTTGCCGATGGCCCTACTTCCATAAGAGATGGTATGTTTAACCTTTTAAATGTGACAAATGGAGTACCTTTTAACTTTTAAATAGAATGACACTGAGGGAAACTGACATATATACTAGAAATTTATTATCTATATGATCCTAAAATTTCAAAACTATTTCATGTTGATAAACAATGGATTCATGATTACTATTTGGTAGATCATGTTAGTTTGCCATTATGGAAAATGAGGGCGGCGCATAACTTCTGATTCTGAGGAGGAGCAATAAACATCAACCAACCTTATCTTTCAAAATCCATAAATACTCATCATTTGGCCTTGGAGTTCTAAAAGTCACACTGACCCAACAATAATGAATTGATAGTTAGATTTTTGTATTTCTGTCTGCTCATGCTAACAAGGAATTCCAGGATTCACAACTTTTCTCCGGTATGTAACTTGTCCCAATCTCTTGGTTTCTCTAATTCTCAGTGGCAAGTTGGGGAGTGAAAGAAATGGAACGGATGATTGCTATTTGCACGGAACTCGGGAAGGTCAGTTTCAGAGGCTCTCTATTCATTTTAATTTCTACACAGAAGAGTACTTGATAAAACAATTTGCTAATGTTGACATCTGAGCTTTGTGTTACAGTTGGGAGCAACAGTTGAGGAAGGACCAGATTATTGTGTGATTACTCCACCTGAGAAACTAAATGTAACAGAGATTGACACTTACGAAGATCGCAGGATGGCAATGGCATTCTCTCTTGCTGCCTGTGGAGAAGTCCCAGTCACCATCAAGGACCCTGGTTGCACGCGACAAACTTTCCCAGACTACTTTGAAGTCCTTGAGAGGTACACGAAGCATTGAGTTGCACTTAAATCATTCACCATGTATACAAGAGAGATAGGAGGCTATCCATTACCATTAGCAACCATTGTAATCTGAAATCAACCCCCCTTTTTTTTCATGTATCACGCTGTAATATTTTATTATAATTATGCAAGGTAAACAAAGCATTGAGTTGCACTTAAACCACTCACGGCTGATGTTGTTATTGTGCTGGAGAATGGTCATCTCTGAAAGGAAAAGCCAAGCTTAGTTAATTTATTTTTGACTCTCGAGAGAGTGAGTGTAGTGCTAGACCTTAACTATGAACTTAAATGGTTATATCTGTTCACTATTAATCAATCAATGAATGCTTGAAGTGATTAAATCAATAAATTTTAATATTTTCTACCTTTCTCCCTTTAGATAAATATGGGATGGAATTTGAGTTGAGCAGGTTTGTCTAACAGAACTTAATCCCTCTATCCAAGACAAGATTTTGGAGTAAAGGTCATCCTTTCCTTTTCCTAGCCTGGCCTCTTTTTAAAGTGACATCCATGTTCATATTGTAGCTTACGCATGACAATATCAGGTACAGTTTTAATGGTTTGATTCCGGCATGCCGGAAAAAAAATCTAAAGAGAATAACTTTTTCACAATTGTGGCTTAAAAGTTACAATTATTGGCCCCTTCTTGATTTCAACATTTAAATGCCGGCATCGGTTGGTTTCTAGCTGCTTCATCAATAATGAGATGCTTGTCTTTCTCTAATTCTCACAGCTTTTTGGGCTTCCCTCCTACGCTTAACACTAATGACGTTCACGTGCCTCTAGTCATCAAAGAAACTGGGTAGAAGGCATTGGTCTCCATATCTGTGAAATCTCACCTCCAGAGCTTTAGCTGGCACCGAATCGCAAGGCATGAAATAGGCATGGAACATGTTGCCGTAGTATATAAATATAGAACTAGTTAGAGGGGCGCCCCTTCTGCGTTGTTGTTATTATTATTATTATTCATCAGGTTCTCACATGGGGTCTCTAGTGTGCTCCTGGCGGGTGGTGGCTATGAAATTTACAATTTCCCTTGCTTTTCCTTCCAAATATAAACTTTGATATAATTTTCTTCATCATCACTCTTCATTTTGAGCCACGTTGAGCTTTCAGAGGAAGTAAACTGGACCGCTGGCTTGTGATTCTACAATAATCTCTACATTACACCATTCCACATGATGCGTAGCTAGCTGCTAGTCTAACATAACTTTCAATCTAAGACATCAATAAATATTCATTAGAAGGGCTTTCATGCATTTGCCTTCATTTCAAGTTTTGTGCTGCACTGTCAATGCTCACTACAATGTTGACTATCGCCACAATAACCCACTAATCTTTTGATAAAAACGTCATTAATCTGTCTTGCTTGGAAAGGATTGTGCTCCATTTTTTATAATCTTTAATCCAGAGACAATCTTGTGCAATTTAGCTATTGATTATGGTAAGCTGGAATAAGTATCATTATTACACTAAATGGTACCCAGACCCACCAACACATAATCACTCACACCTACTAAATTTATGATACTGCTTTATATAATGTATGAAGAGAGAATGAAAAGGAAAAAGGTGCACCTATTATTTGGTCTATGAGGCAGCATTTTTCTTATGATTACTTAAAATTCCCTTTGACAGTGAAAAATGTACAGTAAACTACTAGAAATTTTCATCATGATTCATGTGCAGTCATATTTCCTATTATATGTTCCATGAAGCTTGGTCAATTTTGGGTCTGACCCTTTGAGTGAAAAATGCTGAAAACTGGGACCAAAGTTTGCTTGAACACTCTTTTACCATAGGTACACAAGGATCATAAATACAGTCAATTACAAGAAGATTGGAGTTGATGAGATCTAAATTGGTAGATTACTGCCATATTTTTGTATGTGATCAATGGCAGTTCAAACCTAGTAATTTACATGCTTTGAACCTTGAAAATTAATGAGAAAATTTACTTATTCACACATTTCAATGGTATGAAGAGGAGGAACGAGTCAAATTTTAGAAATATTTATATGATTGTAAATTTTAAAATTTGTAAAATTAATTAAGATATATATAAGTTGATTTAAATATTTATATTATAAAAACAAAAAACAAAACAAAACGAGGAAAGAACTCCTTCATAATTACCCTCGAATCCTCATCCACATCGTCATCCTCAAATCTCATGCTAGCCACTCCTCCCAAGAAACTGCCTCTCAAGCATAAATAAATAAAGGGGGGGTGTGCTAATGGATTGAAGGCTTTCCATCCAGTCAAATCCAAGTACTACATATAGAAATGGATCGAATTTTAAGCAGAATCCCTCTGTTCTCCATGTCTCACTTTTGAAAATTCTCATAAGAACATTCAAAAAAACAAAAAAATCTCTCACCCCCCTATTTTTAACAGCTCAAACCATATTTACCTCAGCTTCTTTGACTCTTCTTGATCTCCCATCACCTAAAATTTAAAAGCCCCCCCCCTCTCTCTCATTCTCTAAATTCATGCCTCTCCATTATTTTCAATCACCATTTTAAACAGAAAATCAAGAACCTTTGCTCTTTATTCCTGTCAAAGAGAAAGCCACCAACAACAGCAGTCCATCCTTCCAAGAAACCAGAAATAAAAAACGATTCCTTGTACCAAAAATAGCTAAAATAGCCAGACCTAAGCTCCCTTCCACCACCACCAATCAATCAATCAGCCACATTCCTTCAAACCCTAACAATAACCTCTCGCAATCAAGAAATCAAGAGAACAAAAGAAAACCCATATTTCGATTTTTCAAGAAAATGTCTCATCTTGATCACACCCCATCAACACCAGGCAAATTCAAGATGGACAAATCACCATATTACTCAAGGACAAGGTGGCATTCCTCTGTAGCCAAGCTTACTATCTGGTCTTTTCTCTTCATTGCCGTAATCTTTCTCTTCTTTTATCGCTCCCCGCCATCTTCATCAAACTCCGATCCATCACGCCGTTATCTTACTTCTGCTACCTGGGGCGGAGCTGCTTGGGAAAAAAGGGTCCGGACCTCTGCCCGAATCCGGTCTCGAAATGGGTTCTCTGTTTTAGTGACAGGAGCAGCTGGTTTTGTTGGAACCCATGTTTCTTCTGCGCTTAAACGCCGTGGAGATGGTGTTTTGGGACTCGATAATTTCAATGATTACTATGATCCAACTTTGAAGAGAGCAAGACAAGCACTTCTTGAAAGAAGTGGTGTTTTTATTGTGGAAGGAGATATAAATGATGTTTCTTTGTTGAAGAAATTGTTTGAAGTGGTGCCTTTTACACATGTGATGCATTTGGCAGCTCAAGCTGGGGTTAGGTATGCAATGAAAAATCCTGCTTCTTATGTGCATAGTAATATTGCCGGTTTTGTTAGTTTGTTGGAAGTTTGTAAAGATGCAAATCCACAACCAGCTATTGTTTGGGCATCATCCAGTTCTGTTTATGGGCTTAATACTAAAGTGCCTTTCTCTGAGAAAGATAGAACTGATCAACCTGCTAGTTTATATGCTGCTACTAAGAAAGCTGGTGAGGAAATTGCACACACTTATAATCATATTTACGGGCTTTCACTCACCGGGCTGCGATTTTTTACGGTTTATGGACCATGGGGGAGGCCGGATATGGCATATTTCTTTTTCACTAAGGATATTTTGAATGGGAAGACTATACCAATTTTTGAGGCTGCGAATCATGGGAATGTTGCTAGGGATTTTACCTACATTGATGATATTGTGAAGGGTTGTTTGGGTTCGTTGGATACGGCAGAGAAGAGTACCGGGAGCGGAGGGAAGAAGAAAGGGCCGGCACAATTGAGGGTTTTCAATTTGGGGAATACATCGCCTGTGCCGGTTACTGATCTTGTTAGTATCTTGGAAAGGCTTTTGAAGGTCAAGGCTAAAAGGAATATTATGAAGTTGCCACGCAATGGGGATGTTCCATATACGCACGCGAATATTAGTTATGCTCAAAAGGAATTTGGATATAAGCCTACCACGGATTTGCAGACAGGGTTGAAGAAATTCGTGCGGTGGTACCTCAGTTACTATGGAAACAAGAAAGCTGTTGCGAGATGAGATGAATTCTTTTGGTTCGGTACTTGGAAAATATTCCTTGTTCATTATGATTCTTATAATTGTTTTTCTTAACATTTCTGTGTTCTTTCATTGCACGATAATTGTCTTTGGTATATGTTTAATTGATGCTGGACAAGGAGGAATATCTTGTCTTCTGTTGAAGAAGAGTGCGTGGTTGGTGAATTCTGTTTTGTTGGGCACTCTGAGTGCTGTATCAAAACAAAGCCAGAACCATCCTTTTCTTTTGTTTCCGATTTTTGGAATTTGTAATTGTTGTAGTTTCGGTGCTGTAGAGTTCATGACTGATAGAGCATATGCTGATTGTTGGACATGTGTCAATCAATAAAATAGTACACGTTAATTTCATTTATTTGTTTTCATACTGAACAGAATGAATTTCATTTGACTATTGTATGGTGTGTATGCTTTTTCTACGATGGCTTGGTCTGTTATTGACATCCATGATGAATACAGCTGCAACTATTTCATTTTTGCTTGTTGAGAATGACTTGGGGAATACAAGCTGATCAACTCTTTTACCTCTTGAGACCAGCTTGTGTCTGAGTTGTGGCTTTTATACTTGATTCAAAAGTTCATCAAGTCCTTCCTTTGTTTTTTGCTGTTCTGGGTAAATGATAGATATTAATTATGTATTGCATTTGACCTACAGGTCTATCTTGTTCTTTTTCATACATGATATTCTAGGATGTTGTAGCATTCTGTTAATGAATGTGATGCTATAGGTCACATTTGGTGGTAGAGTTGATCAAATTTTGTATGCTTCCAGCTTTGCATTCCTAAATTTTCCTTTGTAGTCTCGCCATAACCTTCTGTTCCTTTTTTCAGTTCTAGATATGCTATTTTTGGTCATTTCTGATGCAATGCATGATTGTTGAGTTTCTTCTTTGGAATTTGATGTTACCTTGTAAGACAGAATATAAAATAGCTGGTTATTAAAAAATAATTTGGAGGAGGTAAATCTTCACTGTTTATTTTGCTCATTCCCTGAGACTTTGAAGAACTCCCTTGAAAGCATGGAATTTTTACACTCCATTTATTTTGCTGTATTCTGTCTATATCTTCTTATCATGGAGTGGACTGTTTTGGTTCTTTGCCAATTTTTCCCCTAAAAATCAGAGAGAAATAGAATGTCAATTGTTTAGGCACAAATGGAGCAAGTGTTTCTACTTTTGTTTGGTTTGGTATAGAGACCTAAACGCAATCTTTTAGACGGTATTTATTTTTGTGTTTTAAAAGTAATTTTTTATAAAATAAATTTTTTTATTTTTTTTAAATTAATATTTTTTTGTATTTTTAGATTATTTTGATGCTCTGATATAAAAAATAATTTAAAAAATATTATTTTAATATATTTTCAAGTAAAAAATACTTTGAAAAACAACTATAATTACAATTTCGAACACAAAATATTAGATTTATTTGCAGTGATTTTGCTCATATATTGAGATTTCAACAAGAAAATTTCCTAGAAATATATATGTTAAAGAGTCTATCTATGATCTGCATGTCCTTTATATGAAAATTAGAGGTCAGGCAGTCATTCAAAAAAAACACAGCGAAATTGGCCTGTTTCTTTCGTGTATTAATTAAAATATTTAAAAATAACTAAAGCATTTTTCTTAGCAGAAGGTGAAAAATAACAAAATTCTATCTTCTTTTCCTATACAACATAACTTATTTATTATATATACAAAAAATGAAAAAGAAATAGGAAAAGAAATTCTTGTCTGCAAGTATTTTTTACGTGCATATACAGGAAACACAGGAGAGAGGAGATGCTCAGTTTGCTGTTATATTCCATTTCATGTTGCGTGCTGGAATAGCCTTTATTCCTTTGGTGGAAGGAGTAAGTTAATATTATTCCAAGAGGCATGGTTGATCTCAGCTTGGTGGATATGATTCTCAGAGTTTCCAGGCAAGAAACTTTCTTACATGATATTGCAGGTTGTTTATAAATAAATGAACTTGCTTTGCGTTTCATGCTTAGCTGGCTTGTTTCTTTCCCCGTTTCAAATCAATATAAATCCTTACTGTCAGCTAAAAAATTGCTCTGTGATTAAGAGCTTCTGAGCAAGTATTCGAGACATTTTGGATAGCTAGCGTTGCAATTACTTGTTTATTCAACCCTTGTATACAAAGATGACTTCTTGATCACATCCTTATTTGATACATGTTTCAAGGGATGGAGAAAAACTTCAGCCAATAGAAATACAATAATAGTTATTTTTTAAAATATATTTTATTAATTTTTTTTATTAAAAAATTATGTTTTTAACATCAATACATAAAACCATCTCAAAACACTAAAAAATATAATTTGAAATAAAAAAAAATCAAATTCTAAATATTAAGTAATTTCAGGACAGCGCATGCTTGGACGCAGAGACCATGCCGAACTATGCAATCCTATAACAGCGATCCAGTTATAAAATAACATGGAAGTGGCTTGTGTTCTTCGCAAATTGAAATAGGCGAGGGTAGCCCAAATTTGAACTCTGCTCACGTCAGTGTGGAAGCTAGCTCTATTGGACCAACTCTGGATACGATAAGTTATGATTCATTGCAGGACATCTTAATCTTCGGCAAAAACATCATCCAGCCTCGGTTCTTCTGCATTTAGATACTGGGAACTGATCATACATGCTGAATTCTGACGAGGTCAATAAGCATGCTGGGAACCAACGGAAGTTTTGAAGCAAATGATAAGCTACTAAACGCTGTTCTCATAGAAAAAAAGAAATGCTAGAATGTAATATGGTGCATGCTTCTCAAAATACAAGCGCAAATTAAAAGCAATTGAAAACTCAAATTATTATGAATTAAATCCAAATTGAGGTTGGGTGTAGAGGGCCAACAGATTGCCAGAAAAAATGAAATGTAAACAAGCTATATATACTGCTAACTTAAATTGGGTTCTAAATTGTGAAATTAATTCTGCTGAAAATCTTTATTTGCAGAGGATCATGATCAAGCATGGACAATACAGGATAAACTAACAATTTCACTCACTAGTTTGAGTACAAATTTGCTTTAGACACTTTCCTGGGAGACCCTAGCATAAGGTTCACAACACCCTAAACATTTGAGAGCAATTACATCTAGACATTGTCATGAAGGGAATTAGCTCTTGAACATAAATACATCCATGCACACCCTTAAATTTCTGTCAAAATTATCATCATGATAAACAAAAAAGTCAATACAATTATTATATCACAAAAAAAAATAACAAAACTTTATGATTCACTTATTAATTCCCCCACAAAACAATTAAAAATGGGAAATTCAAATTCAATATTGCAAACCAAAAATGTTTTTAGTTGCATTAATAAAAAAAATCCTAGACCTCAATTTTATATTCATAAAACAAAATCATGAGTTAAAATATAAAAGAACTTAATTAGTCTACAATTCTAACCTCAAGCTCCACACATCGTTGTTCAATGATGGTGATGCAAGTACTCTACTTCCTCACATCAATAAAAAAAAAAAGAAGCAATCACTTGTTTGTGGATATAGAGCTCTAGTTTATCCAAGTGTTTGTTACTAATTCAACAAACAACATATATACAAAATATATGCACATTGAGACCCCATCAAGACCAAACCAATACATAAATAAATAAATTTTTCAAATTTCAATGGCAATTAATGTGCCATGGAGCTTTTCTAGTAGTAAAATGAAAAGCTTTGGTTGGTATCAAGTCCTTTAATTCTTAAGCTTTTATCCTTATCCCAGCTTTTATAGTAGTACAATGGAGAGCTTCGGTTCATATCAAGTCCTTTTATCCTTATTCTTAGCACCACGAACAAAACGAGCTCACACTACATGTATTAACAAAAAAAAAAAAAAACCCCAAGAAATTAAAAAAAGAAAATACCAAAAATCAAAATAAAAAAACATCATAAATCCCGAGTTAATAAATTCTTAATATTCTTTAAAGAAAGATGAATTTGGTCATGGAATTCCTCTAAACCAGCAGGATCCAAACCTTTTCAATGTTATAGCCGTTGAGGTGTTGCGGATGTACCATGTGACTAGGGTTTTGTGTTTAACAAATTATATATAGTTTCAGTTTTATTTTTTTAGGTTTTCAAAATTAATAGCCAAAATATTGTTCTCAAACTTACAAAATTGTGACTATTTTTGAAAACCTACAAAAAGAAAAAATTGAAACCATATTTCGGGTACTTAATTAATGCCAAGTAATCTTTCAATTAGTTTATTTTTAATTTATTTTTATTTTTTATCATGATTTATGATTTATTATTATCAGTTTATTACGTTAGGTTTTCCAAAAGCAACTGAAGACAATTTTTTAATAATCTGAAATTGATTATGCATTAGTCCAGTGGTAAAAGAGTACACACAGCACAGCCACAATTGGAAACCAAATCAACTGTCTATACCTTCCGATTTTGGGCACTTCTTTGCCTAATAGAATGATCCTGTAAAATATTATTTATTAGATCACTAGCCTTATTAAAACTCAAATTCATATGCCACACTAAAGCTGTTTTACTTTTACAGCACTGGGTCCTAATATACAAACAAGTTATTGTTTTGCATGCGAACCCTAAACTTAGTCTTAGCCACATGGTCAAAGCACTGATCAGGAATAGAACGGCACATCCACTTGACATTGCTAATTACTAAAACAATCTAAAGCAACAATCAAGGGAATATAAAAGAACTAATCATCATAATTGGCAATCACAATCCGACTGAGCAAGGAACCAAAGAATTTCCAGAATGGCTTATAAGATTATAAAACAAACTCCATGATCCTTCTACAATTGAATTCCTCAATTCATTAATAGCAAATAATCAATAAATACTGTATACTCAATGATTTGATTGAGGAAAAAACATGAATGGTCATCAAAGATCAAAATTTTATGGACTCGACATTCTGATCAAAGGATAGATATATGATCAAAGAGCCAGTATTTTCAGATTGTTACAATGCAGATAATAACCATATTCAAAACCAATAACACCAATCTAACACAAACAATTCAATCAATGTGAAGAAAAACGCATAAAGATCACAGCTTCGGCGCAAATAAAATCAGGGGGCAGAGTTAAAATAAACTCTTTGGGGTGACAACCTGCAGGAGATTTGAACTGTTCAATTGACTGTTCGAAAAAAGAGAAATTGACTCAAAAAATTACAATCTTTATAAGTTGAGGTGACAATTAGTCTGCATATGTTGCAGTCGCTTTAGCGCAGCCCCTCGGGAGCTCTTTGAAACCCTAGTGAAAGAAAAAATAGAGGGAGCGGGTAGGACGTTCATTATTTTATTTTTATTTTCTTTTTAATCCTTGGGATTTTTCGTTTCCGTTTTTTGGACCTTATGGAATTGTCCAGCCTCCAGCCATGGCTAGTTTGGGATGGGCCTGCAATAAACCGAAATCTCTACAATCTTATTTTGTGTTTAACAAACTATACATATAGTTTGTTAAAAACAAAACCCTCGTCACAAATCACTCTCCCTTTCACGTTTTTTGTTTTTAATAACAGCAGTAGCGCCTCAACTATAAAAACTCTGAAAAGCCATGGCTTTTGTTGCAATGAAACCTGTTAAGTCTGGTTTAGAGGAGCCTCAAGACCAAATCCATCGTATTAGGATTAATTTTTCATCAAAGAATATCAAAAGTCTTGAAAAAGGTTGTCTTCATTTTAAAAAAAAAATATATTAACCAGGGATTTATGTTTTATGTTTTTTTTTTAATTTCTTGTGTTTTTGCTTCTTTTTTTTTTGATTTACGTGGGGTGTCCGGGCCAGCTTGCGCGCACCACAACTAATCCTCACGGCCCACTGAATACCCTGCAAACCCAGCAGGCAGATAAGACAGCGCGGGGCTGACAGGCATGCAACTCCAAGGATCGAACCTATGGAGTAAATACTCCTACCACCGCTAGGCTAATACCATGAGTGCATGTTTTTGCTTTTTTGTTAATACATGTAGTATATCGTGGGTGCGTGTTTTTGCTTTTTTGTTAATACATGTAGTATGTGCTGATCTTATTCATAGTGCTAAGGATAAGAGCTCGAGGATCAAGGGCCCAGTGAGGATACCAACTAAAGTTCTCAATATTACTACTAGAAAAGCTCCATGTGGTGAAGGTATTGATTTAAAATATAGACTTTATTAGTTAACTGCTTCTTTTTAAATGTTCTCTTAGAAGAGTTTGTTTAAATATTTATGGGTTGTCTTTTTATTATTGCATCTTAATTGCCATTGTAATATGGAAATTTATTTCTTTGTGTATTGGATTGATATTGATAGTCTCAATGTTTGTAAATATATGTTTAATCAGGAACAAACACTTGGGATAGGCTTGAGCTTCGTATCCACAAGCGTGTGATTGATCTTTTTAGCTCTGCTGATGTGGTGAAGCAGATTACTTCTATCACCATTGAACCTGGTGTGGACGTTGAGGTTACAATTGCAGACTGATTGAGCGTGCTTGGTTTAGGATTTTCTGATTATTGTAATGAATTTTTGTTTTGATAACAATTTTGGTTTGCTACATTGAATTTTAATTTCTTATTTTCAATTGTTTTGCCGTGGGAACTATTCAGTGAATTTTAAAGTTTTGGTTTTTTTTTATACGATTTTTTTTTCTTTTGGTTCATCATGATGATAATTTTGACAGAAATTTAAGAGTGTACATAGATGCATTTCTCTAGATGTGATTGCTGAGTTAGAATGAGTTATATGCCAGTCAACTATTATACACCAACTCCGAATGAGTTTTCAAATATGCAACATATTCAGCCATAATCACATGGTTGTTGCTGGAAAAGATTACATAAACACATGCAGAGATCTGCAATTCATATGTTAGTCAAATATTTCCTACTAGATATGCAGAGATATGTAGACCGTATTCAATCTAGAATGGCTGAATAAGCCTGCTAATTTAGGCTGGACATGCAGAAGTGCATGTGGTGTTGTGATGTTCATATAGGCTAGGAACTCATATAAATACAATTGCAAAATCATATATTCACCACATAACAATAAGAATGTAGTCTTTATATGCAGTTTTAGCTCTTGTTCTAGATTCTTGCTACACAAGATTCAACATGGTATCAGAGCAGTTTGGTTGTTTCTAATAACTGAACGATCCGACGTAGTAAACCACACTTTACTGTCCACCATTACAGCCTAACCAAGAACACATCCATAGACTCAGAAATACTCTACCTGGAAATTAGAAGAACCCGACGAGGACTGACCCCGATCTCTCTCGTCGGCTGGTTGTGCACAACACCAGCCTCTTTGACAGATAATAGAGACCATGGGGGTCCCGATCAACGCCAAAACGCGCTGGTCTTTCAACTCTGGAATGGTCCATATGAACAGTAGGTGATGGCCAGCAAGATGAATGAGCAAACAGAATCAAGAACGGGACAAGAAAGAAGATGAAAAGTTTTGCCTTTGTGGCTAATGAGATAGAAGAGTAGGAGGAGAGGTTGGTTAGCTGCACGGGGGCAGCTTGTCTGCCATATTATTTTATTTTTCTTGGTAAAAAACACCGGGGAAAAAAAAAAAAAAAAAAAAAAAAAAAACTCTGATTCTCTTGTCCCAAGAGGACCTTCGCTACCAAGGAGGGCTTTCTCTTCAGCCCAGTATACTCCAGGTAGGCTGCTGTTCAAAATGGTTGACTGGCTACGAAAAGTTTTTTTTTTTTTTTTGTTCATCCATGGTTTAGTTTTTAATTAAATATTATATTAAGAGGAGGTTTTTTTCCTCCCAGGTTTCTATTTACGAAATTTAAAATTAACACTCCACCACATGGCTTCTCAAGTCTTTAATTTTAAGACGTGTTAGAAATTATTGTGTTATTATTCGGGTTGTTTTTAAAGAAAAAATATCTTAGAACTTCATTATATTGTGCTTATAAATATTTAGAGTATTTACCAGTGTTTGTTAAATATTTAAAATAGTTAAATAGTGTTTGGTTAAATCTTTTTATAATGCCATTAAAATATAAAATAACTGACAAGTACTGTAGCATGTTAAAAATAATTTAAAATTATATATTTTATTTGTATTGAATATTTTATTATTCCATAAATTTATTTAGGTGTACAGATTTTCTATGAGAATGATTTTTAAGTTTAAAAATTGTATAAAAAAATTTAAATAGCATGATAATATTTTTTTTTTTAGATATCCTTATATTCTTTTAAATTCTTTTAAAGGATGAAACTAATCCTATTCGGAAGTTTTGATTATTCTTTTGAATAAATGCATTTCATAGGAATTAAACTTGTATTTTTATCTTTATAGAAATATAGCAATATCGTAACTGTTAAACCAACACTTTATTAGTGTTTATTAAAATAATTAAAAAATTAATAATATAAAAGACTATCCTATCAGTTAAAATAAAAATATACCTCTCACAGTAAGTAGTTTTTGGAATGGAAAACACAAGTAGCATGGCTTGTTTCATAACCAAAGCAATTTTTTTTTTTAAAAAAAAAGTAACACTTGTTTTGATTTCAAAGCAAAATATATACTAATCAAACATTTAAATGAAAAGCAGCTACAAACACGGTAGCACCGCGCAAACACTTGGACATTTAGAATCCTATACTAAACTTATGGGCAAATTGACCCTTAAGCAAATACTACATGTTCGGTGTTGATTCTGTTTCTGCATTTTGGACCAAAAAGCAGAAGTAATACTTACAAATCCGTTTGGGAATACAGTAAGGTAACTTTTTCTTTTAAATATTTTTAATAAATATATCTACTTTAAATAATATTAAATTAATATTTTTTTAATAATTATTGATGATTTTTGCATGCTAATGTTAGAAGTTTTTTTAAAAAATTAAAATAAAATAATTTTAATATATTTTAAAATAAAAAATATTTTAAAAAAATACCCTACACCCAAATCACAAACACAAAATATCCTTGATTCAGTAAAGTGGTCAATATTATTAAAATTCATCCAGACAAAGGTACTTTATCGAGTGAAGATTTATTTATAAAAAGGAGTGAAGAAAAGGTCCTGGGCAAGGGAGAAACAGAGGATTATGCGCGTCATCGTTTTGACTTCTCAAGATAAGATCTTGAAAGGCGAACCACTTCTTTTCAAATTGCATTTTTCTCTCTCCATTTCTTTCTTTGCTTCATGGAAAGAGATTTTTAAATTGTTTTCTTAATTATTCCACAGCTGGGAGCTTCATAGAACAAAGTAAAAATAACTCTTCATGAGACTTTTATCTCAAAAACACTGGATAGGAAGAGGATGATTTGAAAATGTGGTGATAACTGTTTTTAAAAATATTTTATTTAATTTTAAATATTTGTCTATCAAAACGATCAAAAACTTATATAAAAATTGAATTAACTTTTTATATATATATAAAACAGAATTTTAAATGGCGCAGGATTAAAAAAAGCCGGTGAAGACTCGGGCTGAGTTAAGTTGGTGAGGAATAAAATTGCAGGACATGTGAGTACCAATAGAATCACGATTGCTAATAGAAGCAACATTTTAATTGAAGATGAATAGTTTAAGAAGACAATAGATGTTGTTACAAATTGTCTCCTCCTGGAAGCCATGCACCTACAGAAAAAGCTGATCAGGTAACATTTGCAAGAAAAGGTGCAGTATTATGGTCTCTCATTAAACTCACAAGATCAAGCCTTCCATGCATAACCTTCCAAACTTGTAGCATTTTAAAATGATGAAATTAAAAAGCTGTGGCAGTAACCATTAAAGCAAAGCAATCCTAGATACAACTAGAAATCATCATAGACAGAAAAGATCTTTATCTATGCATGAAACGTGTCCAGCTGTAATATTTGTAATCCATAAAGATATGTACAAAGAAGGAAGGAAAAAATCATCAAAATAGCTGGATAGTCACGAGCTACAGTTATATTCCTGTCACTAAATGTAATGATTCAACTTTTTCTTGAAGCTCTCTCGTCATGGTTGCATGGAGTTTTCAAAAACAAAAACTAGATAGGAATGGCATACTGCAGTACCAGAAATTATGGTAGCAAAGTAGTACTCTGTTCAGTGAAAAGTAGAAAAATCAAATTTGCAGCAACTTTGCAATTCCCATCTTTCCATGCCATCAGTGGCATTTGCAGCCAAAGAAGCTGAATTTGTACCATCAGGATTTGAGATTTCATTAGCAGAGAGTCTCTGGTACCCGCAAAACATGCCAATTAATAGCCCGACATGATGCAGCAGAGCATTCATCTTCAGTTCTTTAAATGAAATCAGATGTTCCCTCTAGTAACAAAAAATCAAAGCTGAACTTAAACCCGCTGATACTACTCAAAAATCATACTTTGTTCTCCCACTCAATAAAACAAGGCATAACATGTCAAAAATGTCAGAAGAGGAACTGAGAAAATTCCAAGACTCCAGCATTAGGCGTTTCCTCGATCCCTTGAAATGAACAACCTGCATGTAGGAAACCAAGCAAGTGACAAACCAAAACTCCAATCTTCAATTAACTAAGTGCGTTATTCTTTCCTTTCCTTTTCTTTTATTAAGTGCGTTATTCTTTCCTTTCCTTTTCTTTTATTGTTGGACAAAATGCAAGGAATGTAAAACTCAGACAGTGATTAAGCTAATCATGATTATGACATTACCTTGACGTCCAAAGGCATGCCATGAAATTGGCCTGCCCCCTCAGGAGGTGTCCAATTATATGTGGCACATGGTAGAAATAGCACTGAAGCACCACCAATATTTTCCAGAAAAGCCTGTGCTTTGGTAAATCTCCTCAAATCAAATCCAGGATGTGATTTTATAGCCCAGGCAAGAGCTAACTGATCTCCAAGCATTCGAGAGGCACTCATAAACTTGGAACTGTAAACTTTTAATACTTCTTGAAGGAAAATCTTCGCCCTGTGTTGCAAATATTTTACAGTAACAAGAATCATGTCTGATCAGGTTCCATTTTATGGTTGCCAAAAAACTGCAAGGAAAAGCATGGATCACAAGACACTAAAAAAAAAACTAATAATTCCTTGTGACTTCTGCACAGCAGAGGGGGAAAAAACATAAGCCAACCTGCAAAAGAAAAGGATAAAAAAACTCCAAACCCTCCAACACCATGCCTACCTTAAGTAACCATTTAGTTGTTGCAGGCCAGGGCTGGTGTTTCAAGAACATCAGCCACTAAACAACTGGAAAAATTCCAAATCTGTTTGCTTATCTTCATCACAGTCAAAAGGAAAAGGAAGGAATAGCAAAAAGAACTACAAACTAAATACCTTAAAATTGCATCAGTGGTCCCCCTTATTGCTATAAATCCTGAATTTAAAGGTTGCTCCTTATTGTTCCGGAAGGTAAGAGCCAGGTGAAAGTTTGGGTGATCGTTAAACAAGTGTCCAAGGTCATCAACCACAGCTATATCAGAGTCCGTGAAGATGTAATGACTTATATGGCCTGGGTTCTGAGAAAGTTCCTCAAGCCTTGTTTCCAGAAAAGTCTATATGGACAGCACAAAAATTGGAAAAAAAAAATAATAAATCATTTTCATCAAAGACATGTATCTTCTTAATCTTCAATGTGCAACACAGAAAATCAGAGAGAGAGAGAGAGAGAATGAAAAAGAAAATAAACACTGCAATTAATGAAACTCATTGGGTGTGTAGAGAAAGCATGAAATATGCCTTAAGAAACAGAACTATTAATCAAAAATAGAAATATGCTACCTATATGTCAATGTGATATGCTCTTACAATGTAAGACCTGATCCTTTGAAGCATCAACTTGTCTCGCGAATAATCACCCTGAATGGGATACACAGTCACACTATTTCTACGCAATGAAAGATCAGAAGCTGGATCAGTTAGGATGACAACATTGCTCCGTGGCATTGTCACCTGAAAGCATACATGTGAAACATGGATTTGAACCAAATCTCTCATTACAAACAAGTGTAAACCACATGACCGTAATTGCCAACTAGAAAGATGTAACTAACACACTTTAAACCAAAATTGTAATGCGATTATACAAAATGGCAAGTGAATTTAAAACTAACCAAACAAAATTAAAATGACACCATATCAAGATTAAAAAATTTGGGTCACAAGATTCTCAAGACTATTTCACAAACAGATGCTAGTAAGATGATAACCCGGTTAAATCACCTGGATAAAGTCAACGAAGACATTCAAAACAGCCGTTGCCCTCTCCATTTTAGTGTAAGAAGCATTCCCAACAGTGACCAAATTTGATAATCTAGAGTCAGCTAATGAAGTGTTATAAACAGTAAAGACAGTGACAAAGGAGACGCTTTCTCCAGCATTCGAGGAGCTCGGCGTATGGGTCTTGTTCAGCGCTTTCGTGCCTGCTCCGCCATATGGAAAACGTAATAAATTACACATTGTATCAAAAAAAAAAAACTTTGGCAAATTAAGAGAGATTAAATTAAATTAAATTGTAAGAACCTTGACATTGCAAGCGATTAGGCAAGCCTTGACCGGCAGCAGGCCCAAGAACTAAATGATCGAATTTCGTGTTCATTTTCTTCGGCGGGGCTTGTACAGCTGGGTTCTGATGCAATTCTAGAACTGAAAAGGAGAGAAAAAGAATGACAGTATCATTCATTTTGAATTTTGCTTTACTACAAGGAAAAATATTGAGAGGATAATCACCGTAGAAAAGATTAAGAAGGATGAAGAGAACAAGCAAAAAAAACACTAGAGAACATCGCCATCCATTCCATGATGATGATCTCATCGCTAACCAATCTTTTCTACCCATTATTTTATTTTAATCTGGAAAAACCAAAAACACAGAATCAAGAGTGTTGAATCTTCAGTGAGATCTGGTAAAGCAAAATTTTGTTTCTTCTTCTGCGAAATTGTTGGTTTGATTTGATCCAGATTTGGATTTGGAGAGCTTTGCGTTTTAACTACAATCAAACAAAGAAAGGCGTGTGTGAGTGTGATATTTGCAATTAGGTATATCGATCAAGAAACGAAAAAATGGAAGGGGAGCTAAAAGGCGACATGTCGTTCATTAGAAACTGAAGTCTGTGCTCTTCAGTGACATGTCGTTTCATTCGGCCTCCTACAATTGACGGCCGAAGTTCTGAGAGGGTGTGTTTTGGGGCGAGAAGAATCCCATTTAATGCCGATTTAAACCGAATAATCAAATATGAGAAGAGCAAGTGATTTGGTTTCTATTCAGTTTGGTTGAAAATTGGTTTTTCTTATTTTTATGTTTATGTTGTTATACTTTTATAAGAATATATTTATAATTAGAAATTATATTTATTATAAAATATAAAAGATACTAAAAGATTTGTACATTTTGTACCATGAAATCCATTGTTTTTCTATGTTCAGGTGCATTCGAATAATGATTTTTAACAATTTTAATTGTAAAGTTTTTATTTTTTCTAGCTTGGTCACAGTGTTTTTATATTTTAATGTTTCAATTCTTCTTTTTTTCCTTTCACCATATTTAATTCCTAGATTGGAAGATGAAGAAAAAAATCATTAGAAAAAAAAAGAGAGAATTTTCGACCAACCTCATTTTTTGGAGAAAAAAAAATCAATCCTAGTATAATTTTTTAAAAAAATATTTAAAAATAAATTTTAAAAAAAAAGATAATATTAACAATATGAATAATTATATATGAAATAAAATTATTAATTCTTTTATTTTTTATAAGTTTTTATTAAAATAATAAAGATATTTTTTATCTTTAAGTTAAAATTTGTTTTTTTAAATCATGATAAGTTTTCGTATTAAGACACAAGCTTCTAATAAAAAAAAGTATTGCTTGTCAAAATAAAATGAACAGATAACAAAAAAAGAGTTTCTCATATAAATAACTTTCATCATAAATTCAAATCATTTCAGTTTTTATGAATTTCTATTTTAATTGCTTAAGTTCGTATTAAAAAATATATATTATAAATCAATTTTATATCTAATATGATTTTATATGGACGGTATTTTTAAAATATTATTTTTAATATAAATTCCAAAAAACATTACTGTACTGAATAAAGATCTCCCATTTTATTTGCTTTTACTCGTTTTTTTAGAAATTAAATTTCATTTAAAATTTAAATATATATTCTGGAAAAAAATTTCAAACACAATAATTGATTTAATTGTTGAATTCAATTCACAGCTCCAGACACCCTGTAAGGTAAATATAAGAAATTCAGGGGCTTAATTGCCAAAATTTAAAATTCCGAGGATTGAAATTTATATTTTACTGGAATCAGGGCCGACTGGACTTTGGCTGCGAACTTTAAAGTATATCGTGTTGTTATCATCATTCCTCATGCCGCGGTATTGTTTGCTGAAGTTGTTGCTAGCACGTGAAGGAGCAACAGGTATGGTGAGTGCACGTGAATAGCAAGACGATGTGCTGGCAGCGGAGGCATGGCGGCTGGAACAAGACACGGTGGTCAAAAATGAACATACCTTGGCTAGACCGTCGTTAAAAACGCTATTGCAGCCATGGTAGGGCACAGAGCAGCGAAGTAGGGTAGTTTCTGGGCTCGGCGTGGTATTTGTCGTCTATGTGGTGGCTTGTTGTGGCTGATCGGCGAAGAACTTACGGTGGTGATTAGTTTTTTTTAACGATTTTTTTTATTATTATTTATTTACATGGTGGCGAGGAGGGAGAGGGTTTTTAACTCTCTTTTTTATGCCTGGGGTTGCCGGATTTTTTTCATTAGAGCATTTTAGCTGCGGGTTAAATGTTTTTATTTTTTATAAAAAATTATATATATCGGTTTTTTAATATATTTTTATAATTTAAAAAATATAATAAATAAAAAAAAGTATACAAATATGTATTTAAATAAACTAAGAGTTATTTGCGTTGATAAATAAATAAAAAATTATCAATGATATATAAAAATAAAATTTTAAAAATATGTAAATTAAGATATTTAATTTTAAAAAATAAAACATTAAATTAATTAAAAAATAAAAAATAAATAGCTATACTTATTAAAAATATATCTGGAAAATAAATATTTTTTTATTTTAAATAACATAGTTTGCTTATATAAAAAAAAATACAACTATAAATAAACTAGAAAAATCTCTTAGAAACATGTAATAAAAAAATTAATATTTTTTTAAAGATATCTTATAAACAAAATAAAAGAAATGAGGTTTTATCCCTTTTTTCTTAGATTTTTAATTAGTCACACCACTTTATTTATTTTTACTTGTATTATTTGAAATTATATTTTTATAGTACTCATCTCGAACTCGCCATGCTAGATGTAATAGTCTTAGGTATGATAATTATGCTAGCAATAGACAACATATCATCTATTAAGGTAGTCCACGCGACATCTATTTTGAGTCGATTTCACTCATTATGGTAATTAAAAAATTAAGATTCATACTTTTTTTATTATAAAATCTATCCTGCAACATGTTTTTTTAACCAAGAACATCATGTAAACCATGAAAAATTCATTCATCACCTCAAAAAACATTTCAAAAAACCAAACTCAACTCACAACAAAAAAAACTAACCTAAGTTTAAATCTATTTTTCACAAACTTTTAAAATATAAAAATAGCTAAAATAAATTTTCTGCATCAAATAAAATAATTTAACATAATTTTTTTTTTATCTTAATAACTCGAATGAATATCAGCAAAAAGCTTCTTTCTTTACCATTCAAATACAACCTTTTTCTCTCTCTTCTATCAACTGTACTGCAATTTTATAGTTTATATAATTATTTAACTTAAAAGACCAAAACAAATGTTTTCAAAAACTTACTAGATCACCAACTTATATGATACTTTTGGTTAAGATTAAAGGCAACCGTACTGCAATTGTATAGTTTATATAATTATTCAAGTTAAAAGATCAAAACAAATGTTTTCAAAAACTTACTGAATCACCAACTGATATAATACTTTTGGTTAAGATTAAAGGCGTGCTTGATTCCAGCAAGCAAACTAATTTTTAATTAAAATCATAATTTTTAAACTTAAACCAGTTTAAAATCTAGGTTTCAAGTTTTCACTGAGTCATTAAATCACCCGAGTTTTTTTTTTAATTACAACATCATTTAGTAACAAAATAAACCAACAAATTACAATCAGATTTTTAATAGGATATTGTAGAATTTTAATAGGATATTGTAGGATTGCTTTGTCAATCCATCAGGTAATACTAGATTTTTTTTTTTTTTCCAACTCAACCCAATTCTAATCCTAAATTAACCAAGTTTTGAATTAACCCGTCGAGCCGCTTTAAAACTATGGTTAAAATGCTTATCTTTCACTGAAACTGAGAAGCCGCGAAGTACTTGCGGTAAGAAACAAAGGCTACTTTTCATTCGATAATCTGAAAATGCACGTGTAGCCCCTAGTATTAAATTTCCAGGCAAGAACCGCAAATTCAAACCTAAAATTGTTCCACACTGACAATTACGCATCAAAATTTGCCCAATTTGACAACGATTAAATTCAGCATCTATTCAAATTTGGAATCCCGACAGTACTGGCAACATAAAAGACATCGAAACAGAAGCCGAAATTAAGAAACATTGAGGTTAACATTCTGACTGTCAAAGCATCTCGCAATATTCATGAATTAAGATCTACAAAAATGAGATCGGCAAGCATCAAAAGGCTGAGATCGGCACATCCGAGATTTGAGTTCAAGGACGTGCTGACAACTAAAACCAAGTATATCTCGCCTATGCCACGAGAGTGCTAGCAGTGGTGGATTCACTGCAGGAAAAGAAGAGCTCGATCAGCACTACAACTAAACATGATACAAATCTACAAATATGAAACCAAAGTATATGAACTGTAGATAGGGTTTATAAGCTAATTCAATCACCAATTTTAAAGAAAGGGGATTTGTCAGGGAAAAACAGTTAAATTAATTATTTATCAACCCTTCAGCCATACAAGCTACTTTATGACCCGGAAATGACAGCAAGCTGAAAAGGCATGAAATCAATCTGAATTGAAAATTTAGATTGTGTCGTTCTTGAAGAAACATGCAGTATTCCAGCCATGTGTTTCCATGAATGCAGTTGAATCTATAAGCTAAAAACCAATTGTAACGACAAAAAAAAGAGTCAGCACCCAATTGTGTGCCCACTTCCATTATCACATTCGATATTAAGGAGATACAGTGTGATTAACTCAAATCATTGCATATGAACTCAAGCCAGTATAGAAGAGGGCAACATCACTCCAAATTAGAATGTAAAAGAAAAAATAAGCAGAGGTTCCTTGAATTTGGTAGAGGCCATGCTATAATCAAGCCCCATTCCATGAGTAATTGACATATCCACCTACATTCGCATGTTAGGATCCAAATTATTGTGCTAGGTGAATCCATGCTAATGAATATTGACTTGTCTGAGTATAATGCACCTTTAAATTATCATTGCAGAAAGAAACATATATACTCACTATTTCCAGACTGGTGGAAGCTTCTTGGTCTTCTTGTAATAGCGAGCAAGGCGGTGAATCCTGCTCTCAACCAAAATCAACCTAAACTTGGAATCTTTATCCTTCCTGTTCCTCTCTAGATGCTTCCTAATAGCAACTGCTTTCTTAATGAGGTGGTACAGATCCTCAGGAATTTCAGGTGCAAGCCCTAACAAACGTATAATAATTACAATTAAATGCAATAAAGATGTTCGACATTCCTCATTGAAATGTTGTATTGCTGTAGTAAAAAGAACATGAATAAAATATGTACCATGGGCCTTCAATATCCTCAAAATCTGGTTGCCAGTAACAGTCTTCACTTGAGCAATACCATGAGAATCACGAAGGATAACACCAATTTGAGATGGTGTCAAACCTTTCTTTGCAAACTTGCAGATATTGTCCTCAACCTAAGTGACCATGACAAAAACAATTTTTTTTAAAAAAAAAAAAACGCACAGAACTTGTCTGAATAACAACTAAATCAATCTAATGGTTGCGATTGATGGCCAAAAGTAAAAGCTCCCAGCACTGCAATTTCCACATAAACTTCAATAAAAGTTCCCCATTTGATGCAGTACATACTACTGTCGCAAACTTGACCTGATCTTCAGTGATGAGATTATATTT